ACTTAGAAAAGTAACTTGTGGAGTTCCGCAAGGATCTGTTTTGGGACCGAAGTTATTTTTACTTTATATAAATGATATTTGTACAGCCAGTGATACTTTAAAATATGTGATGTTTGCTGATGATACAAACTTAGTTTGCTCAGGAAAAGACATAAAGAAATTACTGAAAACAGTAGAAACAGAACTCATGAGGTTAAATAGATGGTTTGTATTTAATAAACTATCATTGAATGAAAGTAAAACAAAATTTATGTTATTTGGAGGTAGTAAAAGTAATATTAAAGTAGAATTGAATTTAAATAATGTTGAAATTGAAAGAGTATATGAGACAAAATTTTTAGGAGTAATTATTGATGATAAACTTTGTTGGAAGCCCCACATAGAACATGTGAAACGAAAATTATCCATGTCTATTTCTATTCTTTATAAAACAAGAGATTTTTTGAATAAGAACTGCCTTTATTTATTGTATACTTCCCTTTGTTTGCCTTATATGACCTACTGTGCAGAAATTTGGGGGAACACATACAAAACATATTTGGATTCAATATTTAAATTGCAAAAAAGAGCTATTAGAATAATAAATAAAGTTGGATATAGGGAGTCCACCAACCAGTTTTTTGTAGGATCATCTATGTTAAAATTCATGGACATTATATATTCTAAAACTTTAGAAATGATATATCGTGTCATGAAAAAGAATGTTCCAATTTGTATTTTAAGTATGTTTCAACTAAGAGATGGAAAATATGATTTGAGGGGGTCTTATAAGTTTGAAATGCCTAAAGTGAGAACCAATGTTAAGTATAGATGTGTGTCAGTTTTGGGAGTGAAATTATGGAATGGACTTAATGATGAACTGAAGATGTGTTTTTCTTTGTCATTCTTCAGGAAGATTTTAAAAACTTAGTATTATACAAGGTTATAGAAATTTGGTTTGTTAAATTTTTTTTGTGTTGATTTAATTTCTTGATTTATCATTGATTTCTTTTCAAACTGTTATACAACTTATTTATCAATGCTATTTATTTTCTTGGTTATGGATTTGATTATTTCTATGGGGGTAAGGGATAGGATAAGTATAAGCCATAAGGCTTCAGCCTATTCCTTTTTCGGTTTCTGTTTGAGTACTTTTATGTAAAATTATAATCTGTTGTTGTTGTTGACTGAAATAAATTTCAATTCAATTCAATTCAAGATCATTTGTAACCTTCACTAAAGCTGTTTCTGTGCTGTGATGAGCTCTGAAACCTGACTGAAACTCTTCAAATAAACCTCTGCAGATGATCTGTTAGCTGTTTGACAACTACTCTTTCAAGGATGTTTGATATGAAAGGAAGGTTGGAGATTGGCCTATAACTAGCTAAGACTGCTGGGTCTAGAGATGCTTTTTGAGTAAAGGTTTAACTACAGCCAGCTTGAAGGCCTGTGCTACATAGCTGATTATTAGAGATAGGTTGATCATATTTAAGATTGAAGCATTAAAGCCCCTGGGGTGGACCTCATCCACCCTAGGGGCTCTGCCACCAAGGAGTTATTTAACTGCCTCAGTGGTCTAAGGAGCATGGAAAAAAGTGTCAGGACTCCTTTAAGTTGCTTGAAGACGTTTCACCTCTCATCTGAGAAGCTTCTTCAGTTCTAGGGTCAAGTGGTGGGGAGTCCCAGATTTCAGCCCTGTGGGAGTGCCCCCCTCCTCCCTGAGAGGGACAGTGGACCCCCTAATGATCCTCTACCTAATCACATGAGCCAAGGTGTAAAAACGGATGTAGGTCTACCTTATCATGTGATGTCCTGAGGTCAGATGGCCCAGGATGTGAGTGGGAGTTTAGGCGTCTGGGAAGGGATCTCAAAACTGGATTATAGATGGCACAGTGTCGTAAATCACCTTCTCTGTTCAAAGATGGTCGTGCACAGTGGATATAAATGGCTTCTTTTACTCATTCAAACCATTAATCTTCTCTGTCCAATATGTGTACATTGGTATCCCTGAAAGAGTGACCTTTGTCCTTTAGATGCAGATTGACCGTTGAGTCTTGTCCCATGGAGTTGGGTCCTCCACGGAACACCTCCATGGGACAAGACTTGGCGGTAAATATGGTAAACCTCTCTACTTGTAAGCTTTGTACCACAGGTCTGCGCTAACTTAATCATTACTTTAAAAGCCACAGTAAGTCAGATAATCAGTGTTGGGGAGTAACGGAATACATGTACTGGCATTGTGTATTTCAAATACAAAATTTGAGTGACTATATTCTGTTACAGTCACCATTTTTAAAAAGTTATTCAGAATACAGTTACTTTGTTGAAATAAATGGATTACACTGCAGTCTTTTCCTGTTTCATGTTAGGCTATGCCCTCTCTATTTTTGGTAATTCCACATCGGTGGAAACCCAAACAAAACCCGCATTAAGAGGCTCTAATGCCTGTGTCTCAATCTTGCAGCCCATGAAGTGAAGAAATATTTTTTAATAATTTAAAAAATTTTTTTTAATTATTATTCAAAAAATTATTTAATATGAAGGCAATAGTTGGAGTGTTACAGGCATAATCCTAAAGAATATAGCCTCATGGGCAGTGTAGTCTGTGCTGCAGGGAGAATGGACTGCCATACCAGTTATGTAAATGGTCTGATTCTTATATAGCGTTTTTGTACTCTCACGGAGTACTCAAAGCGCTCTATACAACATGCCTCATTCACCCAATCACACCCATTCTCACAAGCACTTTATCTATACATAGTGCTTACTAACGACATTCACACACATTCATACTCCAGGGTTAGTATCTTGACATGCAGACTGGAAGAGCCAGGGATCAAACCACCAACCTCCCGATCAGTAGGTGACCACCTCTACCTCCTGAGCTACAGCCACCATGTCTGTGAGCGTGAGGGAGGGAGAAAAGGGAGAGGGGAAAAGAGTTGACGAGTTGTCACCGAGCAGAAACGGGAGTTGGAAGCATGCAAATATAATAATAACCACTGCAGCCAAAAAGAGAGCCTGACAAGCCCAGTTGAAAGTAAGCTATTAGGACTTGACTGTACACTGTGTTCGTGTTTTCCTCCAAAACAATAAGTTTTGTTGGAGCAGCCTTTCAATGCCTCTCTCTGTCTCTCGCTAGCAAAGTCGACCCAGACAACATATTAAAGCTAGTTTTCGGCTATGAGCCCAACAAGGAACCCGACATATTAGCCAGGACTCCCTTCACTATGGTTTGGAGCTGCTGACCTTTTTTATATATGTGCAGAAAGGTTTTCTATAAGAGATCGCTGCTAAAAGTGCAGCCTTACCTAATGTCCACCCTACTGTTACTCATTGTATATTAAGATTTAAAAATGTAGTTGGTGTCGGTTTGGCGACTAACTAGGGCTGGGCGATATGACCCACGATCCATATCACGGTATAATTAGAAGCATGTGCGGTAACGATAAATATTGCGATATATTCTTTTTTCTGTATAACATATTTTCCATCCTAAAAATCATTTAATCCTCCCCCCCCCCCCCCCCACACACACACACAGACAAAACATTAAGGATTGTACATTAACATAAAACTGTTGTGCACACACACACACACACACACACACACACACACACACACACACACACACACACACGAAGAGAGAGAGTTGTATGCAACCAGCTACCAAACGGCCATCATAATTCCTCACACAATGAGAACAGGACAAATCAACAATTAACAATGACTGATTAATATTAAAATCTGTAACATAATGTATTGTTTGGAGTTTAGTCTGTTACTGTTAATATTTTTACCATTTCTTCTTGGAGCAACTGTAACCCACATAATTTCCTTAGGGATTAATAAAGTATTCTGATAGTTTCAGGATAACCTGCCATTATCCAATCACACATCTGTTTACCTGCATCTTTGCTCGTTTCTCCTCCTCTTCTTTTCTCTTTTTTCTAAACTGAGCACCTGATGGCTTTGAACTTTTCTTGTCCATCTTCCATTGGTTTTAATTTTGCACTCCAGTATGAACACAAATCCCCCAACTCGAGGATCACCACAACATGATCTAACAGACCTACACCTTAGTTCACAGATTCACTTTGTCACAACCCAGGATTCAGATCATGAATCCATAATGAGCTTGGATTTACATCATTATGGATGAAATACGCTCTATTTGGAAGCAGCAGGCCCCTCCCCTTTCGGCAGGTTGTGTGGAGACTTTAAATCATCAAACTGTAAATTTTAAATTGTTATTGATCCTTTACCCCGAGTCCTAAAGTGTATATTTATTTTCTTATATATATTGTTTGTTTACTTGCACTACTGTAGCTGGAGCCTCGTCGTCTCGTCTCTATATGCTGGACTGTCTGTAGCGGAGATGTCTGGTGTTTTCGTGTTTGTTGCTTTGTTTTTATTTTGTTTGATTTTGTGCCAATACCCGTGATACCGACCCGGGCAACCGCCCGTGTCGCCCGTATCTAAAACCGCTACTGTGCTCAGCCTTGTGTATATACAGATGTATTGCACAACTAATGTTGCCGTATTTGTTTATATTGTTGTTGATGAATAAAATTCACTTAAAAAAAAGCTTAACAGGAAACATGAAGCTGTTTAAAATGATTCCGCCTAAACAAACCCATTCATTGATGAATTCAGGTTGAATAAATGCTCAAATCCGGCCTGATTACAAAGCATTACATTAAATATTCTATAGAAAGGAAAAGCGGGACAGAGCGGGGAGGAAACGGACCAGGTCGGAATGCAACCACGACACGTCCGGGGGCTTTTCGGCACATGGGCCCCCCTCTGAACCAGACTCACAAATCTTCTAATCCTAACTTTGTTTCACTAAATAATCAGGAGAGAAATCCAGGCTGATTTCAGCGCCTGCTGTTTGAATGCAGCGCAGCGCAGTCCTGTCCTCTGTTTGCTCTTTGTTAGCTCACATCTCCAAAAAGTCCTCACAATCAGAAACGTCCCGCAGAGCTGTGATCAGGATCCTCCCTCAGAGGGACACTCACCTGTCCTGTGCAGCTTGATTTGGGGTTTCCAGGTGATATCCAGCAGTCTGCGCTGACGGTCGATCTCTTCCTCGTACTGGACGATCGTTTTTTCAAACTCCAAGAATATTTGTTCAGCAGCAGCAGTTAGTCGCTCGTTGATGAACTCTCTCAGATACTGAACTGAAGGCATCGTTGCTGCCGCAGCTCACACACTCAGCTCACACAACAACACAACAGTCCCTGTGCTCAGGCACACACACGTGGAAAGCTAACGGTATTAGCGCCTTTCCTTTGTTTTCTTCCGCCTGGTGTCACGTGGTGAGCTTCCGGCAGAGCACACGTGTTGCCTTTAGTTCCTATGTGTACATTTTTAAACTCACCGTTGCAGTAAATGAACAGATTCTAAGCAGCAAGGCTACAGTGCGAAGAGAAAACAGATCCATCAAAAACAAATTAAAGTGCTCAAATAAACTAGTATCCTTTTGCCATAAGCATTGTTGCATTGTGTGAAACTAAAACCGGTGAGCATTAGTTTGGTGATGAGAGAGCTCAGAGGAGAACAATCAGACAGGTTGGAGCTGACAGAAAGAACAGCTGTGAACATCAGTCTTATCCAGGGACTCTTCAACATGTGCATTGAAGGAGAGGTAGATCAAACTACCAACGGATAGATTTCACTTTATAGACTTCCTGCTGCAAGATCTCCAAGCAAAGCAGAGCAGCAGAAAGACGTGCTGAGTGTGAAGCTGTCAGCAGGGGGAATAACACAGCGCTGTGAATGAGTCCTGTCACTGTGATCAGGCTCCTCCTTCTAATCCACCAACTTAGTGTTGATGAAGACTAAACAGAGAGATCACAGCTTCTTTATACTTGCTGTAGCTCACAGTTACTCTACACTGCAGATATGACGCCTCTGTTCATCTCAGTGCTGCTGGCTGCTATGTGCCTCGGTATGAACACAACTCTGTTTCTTTGATATCAACATTGACGTGATTCTTTAACAGCACACTGATACTGTTTGTTGGTGTTTTACAGAATGCAGAGCACAAAAAGACAACGTGCTGCAAGCAAAAGGAGAAGAGACTGCTGCTGCAGGAGGCACAGTGACACTTGGCTGTCAGTATAACACCAGCTCATCAAATCATTATCTCTACTGGTACAAACAGGATGGAAACAACAGCCCCAAATTCATCCTGAGTCGCTTTAAAGTTGGTGAGGGGGAAAATGAGGCTGGAGACAGATTTTCATCCACACTAGATTCCAGCATCAGATCAGTTCCTCTGAAGATCCAGAAGCTTCAGCTGTCTGACTCTGCTGTGTACTACTGTGCTCTGCAGCCCACAGTGACAGGAAACAGCAAAACTCTGTACAAAAACCTTTGGAGCAAAGACAACAGAATACTCCACAACATCCACTAGAGGGAGCCACACACTGTTAAACTTCTCTCCAGTCAGAATGACAGTCTTTACTTGTTTGATCACATTGATGGAAAGCGTTAAGGCCTATTATTTTCTCTCTTCTTTCTACATTTTTCATTTCAGTGTCTGATCGATGCACTCCTCCACTTTTCATCAGGACCAAATTCTGTGGGTCCTTCCAATATTTGCCAGTGAAATATAGTACAGTGGTCCCTCGGAACATGGGGAACAGAGCCTTCAGTTGCTCTCTTCCTCAAGCCATAAGAAATAAAAACTCTCTTCCTGTGTTTAAGTCACAGCTCAAAACACATCTGTTCAAACTGGTTTATTCACTTTAGTGCTGATTTTATCTGTTGTCAAGTTCTGTTTTGCAATTTTAACTTATTTTATGTATTTTATGACTATTGGTCCCTTTATTAATTTTGTTCTTTTGTAAGGTGACCTTGGGTTTTTGAAAGGCGCCCACAAATAAAATGTATTATTATTATTATTATTATTACTTCTCTACCGTGGTGATGGGATTTCCGGCTCTTTTTAGAGAGCCGGCTCTTTCAGCTCCCAACCGGCTCTTCAGGTTGTTTTGTTGCTTTAAATAATTTATTATTAACAACAATATAAAATTATGCACTAAAGGAATTACTAATGTAAAAAAAGTGGTTTTATTTAGAGACAGAGCAGGTACAAACTCCAAAACACATTTCTAGCGTTAACTGAACTTCCAAAACAGAGCTACCTAGATCACTTAAATTACACAATTGAAAGCATGAAAGCATGTGTGTATTGTTATATTCAAATAATTAAAGAAAAAATGTTCATTTACCTGTTACTACCACACACCAAATCCGGTCATTGGTACTTTCTGGCTTGTGTAGCCACTACGTAACAAAAGCTCAACACTGTGCCTAGCATCCTGGAGCACGTCTGTTGTGTTTTGTACGTGTTTTGGAGCTTGTATGTGCTTTGTCTCTAAAAAAAAAAAAAAAACATGGCTCGCGTCATTCACGTCAAAGATCCGGCTCTAAGAGCTGTTTCGTTCGCAACCGACACATCACTACTCTACGAGACTGAAACTGTGAGAAGAACATTGGACTAGTTTCCCTTTGACTGTACAAATGTAGTTGTACTTTTTTAGTTGTTATTTAGCTCATGAGTATCTTACACAATGCCAGTCTTACATTCCTGTTGCATCTCATAGTATTAGACCCTTACCTGGCACTTCTATTTTAACTCTGTTATTTGTTGTTTATTGTATACTGCACATTTTTTACTCATTCTCATCCTGCTGCTGTAACACAGTTTTACCTGTGAGATCAAAAAAGTCAAACTTAAAATCACACATGCAAACGTGTGAGTGTGAATATTCTGTCTCTGTTAGACCTGTGATAGACGGCCAACCTGCTCCCTTACTCAGTGATCACCACAGTGGTTAGGTTGGCCGTCATGTTTGAGTTTTGGGTGGATAAAAAACAAAGAATGAAAACAAACAGCTGTTGTGCATTTTTGGTTTATAACATAATTGTAAAATTCTAACTTTAATTCAACAACACAGTAGATTTCCATGTGTATCAAAAAACTGAAAAGACAAAACAACAACAAATAAAAACATTAAAAATTGATCACATCGCAGTCTGACAGCTGAAGACATCAGGCTGATCTGACTGTTCAGGACAATAATGCAGAGGCTTCCTGCGCCGTAACAGTGGGTGTACAACAAGTTTCTGTAAAAAACGGTCGTGGTGGTGAGAAAAATGACCGTTACAGCAGGTATACTACTGCGTTAAGGTGGTTTAACTCTGAACCTTTAGAAACTCTCTACTTAGACACTGTTTTCTCTAAAAAGACTTCTAACCTGAGGGGTAGATTATGAATGGTAAATGGCCTGTATTTATATAGCACTTTTACTAGTCCCTAAGGACCCCAAAGCGCTTTACATATCCAGTCATCCACCCATTCACACACACATTCACACACTGGTGATGGCAGCTACATTGAGCCACAGCCACCCTGGGACACACTGACAGAGGCGAAGATGATATTAAGGGAACAACTGCACATTAGAGACCTGAAACTTACAGCAGCAAAAACTAAGAAAAGATTTGCTTTAGCTTGTGGCAAATCTAAATTAATTGTATTACTTTCTTGTGTTGTGTGTTCTAATTGCTACAATTTAATCAGTGTTAAAGAGATTTAGCAGCAGATTAGAATGAGGTATAACAGCACAGTCACTTTTAAAGTGAAACTCTGAACACATTACCTGCTCCTGACCAGGTTATTAGTGTAAGTTACCACAGCGAATTAGATAAAAACAGCTACTTTTGTGACACAAACCTCTGACTTTTAGCTCAACACAGCTGAGCAATTAACCTTGTGTCAAAATACACCTCTCAGTGTGAGTTCTCATATGGCGCCACAACTGTGTTCTGGTTTTGAACCTTTTTTCACATCTTTGACAACAAAGCCACTGGGTTCAACAGCACCAACACGGAGCAGAAGACGCCTATTTAGCTATGCTATAAAACTATTCCTGCACCCGATGGCAACACAACAAATCTCTTCTATCACTTATAGAAGGTCCACAAAAAAGAATACTCAAGAATCCAGAAAATCCAAGCTAAACCAAGTTGTGGAACGACGGGAGCAAGTTGGGAAAATAAAAACTATACCAGCGGAAGATACAGCAGTCTTTCACACAAGGCCCTCATGAGAAAACGTCCCAGCGCCATAAACAAATCACAGGAGCCGTCTCACATTACATTTGTAAAGGCATGGCCCCGGTTTATGTAGTTGAGAAGGACAGCTTTCTGCTGCTTTGTGTGTGAGTTTCTTTTTGTTTCCGTACAATATTCTGCTCCTGCTGTGCAATATTTCAGCTATATGTGCAATCTCCATCCCTTAATGACCATAGCCCTTCCACCCTTATTTATTATTTACAATGTTTTATTATGACGTCTACATCATGTTTATAGTGTACATAGTGTTCTTATATTGTCTGTTCTTCTTCTTCCTTGTATATTGTTTTCTTTATTTTCACACTATGTGGTATTGCTTCAAAATTTCAGTGTGCAAGCAACTGTACATTGACAATAAGAGTTCTAAGTCCTGAGTTCCTCACCTGTGTGAGTTCTTATGTGCTCCGTTAAATGACAGTTACGTTTGAACGTCTTCCCACATGTTTTACAATTATATGGCTTCACACCTGTGTGCATTCTCATATGCGTCAATAAAGAACTACTATATCCAAACACTTTGCCACATGTTGCACAATGATATGGTTTCTCCCCAGTGTGTGATCTTGTGTGTTTCAGTAAATCACTGTTATATGAAAACCTTTTCCCACAAGTTGTGCAACAAAATGTCTTAACACCTGAGTGAGTTTTTGTGTGCTTCAACAAAGAACTAGCAGATATAAACGTTTTCCCACACATTTTACAAGAGAACGGCCTCTCATCTGTGTGGACTCGATAATGCCTTCTCATTATATAATCATACTTAAAGGCTTTTCCACAAACATCACAGTTTGAGGACTTTTTACTTTTATCAGAGTTACATTGACTTCCTGAGGTAGGTGGATATTCTGCATTGTTGTGACTTTTGTTTCCATTTCCAGCTGATCCTGAATCAAACTTCTTCCTTATTTCCTGATATTGGCTCTCACCTACAGCAGAGCTGTGAGAGAGAAGCTGGTTACTCTTTTGTTCTGGTTCACTGTGGTCACTTTCCTCATAATCAGCAGTCACCATGAAGGTATCAGTCTCCTCCTTCAGTATAACCTGTCTTCTCTCCTGATTGCTGCAAAGTTGCTCCTGTTCCTCGTTAATATGAGGAAGCTCTGATTCCTTCTGGTTGAGACTCTCCCAGTTACAGAGCTGCTGGTCAGTGAGAAGCTCCTCCTTACAGACATGCTG